CAGTTTATTAATTTAGTTTCAGTCACTTAAATTTTTAAAGTTTTGAAATTATACTTGTTAGCAATTATGTACACCCTGGTAAACACCAATTTAACTAATCAATCAAAGTTAACATCACCAGTAATTAGACAGATCAATAGGATGTGTCTCCTGATATGATGCACCAGGAAGAACACATTACTTCTTTGGTATTCTTGGTAAAAGTGCATAACCTAGGTCTAATTTTAAAGAAACGGTGAGTGGAAAACCCAAAGTAGAATGTTCCTCAGAGTTTATAAAATAACTGGTCCATGCTATGCAATGTGTTGATGTCATGAAACAAAAAATTGTGGAACTGTTCCAAATTAATGGAGACTAAAGAGACATAATAACTCAATAACTTTCTCTTTTGCTATAAAGGATATTATTGAGGAAACTGATGAAATGTGAATAGTTTTGAATCAATGTTAACTGCTGATATTGATCACTGTACTGTAGTTATGTAAGATAATGCCTTTCTTTTAGGAAATATACAATGAAAGTATTTAGGGATAAAATGACATCACGTTTGCTACTCTCAAATAGATCAGAAAAGTTAATATGAGAGAGGATGTAAATGTGATAAAATATTGACATTCGGAGAACTTGGGTAAAGAGTATATGGGAATTCTTTGTACTCTTCTTGTAACTGTTCTGTAAATTTGGAATTATGCCAAAAATTTGAAAGAAAAAATACTATATAAGAACTCATATGTGTATTTTTAAAAAATAATGAAAATGAAACAACCTCCTTAATAGATTATAACTAACACCTCTGAAGCTTTGCATGTTCAATTACTACTTAAAGGAGTCATACAATTTATTAAGTCCAAATAAGATAGGCTTTATTTCACCCTTAGCTCATTACTTTCTCACCCTTTACTGTCTCAATAGCATATAAGATAACAAAGTGAATAGAAGCTAAGAAGGGAGTGCAAAGCAGATGCCCTTGGAAGAAAGGTTAAGATTACACACTGATCTATTTTGCTTCCTCTTCAAAATCAAGGTCACACAGCAAGTGGGACATATGGAAATAATTTGTGTTAGATTTTAAAAGGTGGTGATTTTGCTTTATAAAAGCCTTCTTTGGGCCAGGTGTGGTGGCTCTCACTTGTAATCTTAACACTCTGGGAGGCTGAGGCACGAGGACTACTTGAGCCTAGGAGTTCAAGACCAGCCTGGGCAACACAGTGAGACCCCCCCATCTCTACAAAACATTTTTAAAAAATTAGCTGGGCATGATGGCACACACTGTAATGCCAGCTACTCAGGAGGCTGAAGTGGGAGTATCACTCAAGCCCAGCAGTGTGAGGCTGTAGTGAGCTGAGACCATGCCACTGCACTCCAGGCTAGGTGACAGAGTGAGACACTATCTTAAAAAAAAAAAAAAAAAAAAAAGGACTTCTTTTAAAATGACTGCTATTAGTAAAATGGGTTTGGTTAAGTATGATTTTTCAGAAGAGGAATGTAAGTTTGATGAGAGTAAGGATTTGTGCCTGTCTTGTTTGCCAACATATTCCAAGTACCTAGATGGTGTCTGCACACAACAGGCTCTCAATAGAGATCTGTGGAGAGAATGAATAAACAGCAACTACTGCACCAAGCAAGGTATACTGGTAGCTGAGTCTTAGTTTTTGCTTTCCTTTGATCATTTTCTTGGTTTCAAGATACCTGGTAGCCTCTTGCATTGAGCTTTACTTCATTCACAGCAGTATATTCCTTTGCTAAGCTTTTTGTACAGTCTTCTGTCTTTAAAAAAAACCACTGACAAGATCTTGGAGGTGTTACAATGGCTTGAAGATCACTTTTTTAAATGAAGTGCTTTTCAAATGTGCTTAACCACTCACTTATTCAATCTTGGTAAATGCCTTTCTATAGTCCATACGGCTCCCCAGGAATGTTGGCTATATATGAACTGGTGATACTGAATTACTAATATTGTCCTACATGCAACTGAGGCAGTGTAGAAGACAAAACAGTACCAATATTAAATAAAATGCTCCAGTCTCTCTTGTATGTATCTATTTTTTTAAAAAAATTATTATTTTAGCTTAAGCATACCCTGAGATTATATGTACCTTTCAAAGGAAATGCTAAAGAAACAAACAAACAAAACTCATTTAAACACTGGAAAGCATTCTGCTTGCTGGCCAAATAAAAGATTTATCATTCCATGGTCTAAGACACTATAGCTAGTTGTAAACTTCTAAGTTCCTGGGAATGCTTACTTTACTGGAAGGAAAGGGACCTTGGAACATTTTTAAGGCTCTTCTAGCGCTTCCATTTTTGCCTTCTTAGTCCTTTGAAGATTAGGACTAAAGAAATGAAGGCGGTAGAATCCAGTCAGGGTGCAGGGTTGGAGGTGGGAAGTGCAGGGCCCAAGGCCAGACCCCAGCAGATAAAGCCTAATCAGTCAGTCCCCACTTCCAATAGGGAGGAGGAGAACTTGGGTTTAAAAAAAAGAAAAAGAAAAGGAAGAAAAGGAACCTGAAGAACAGATAAGGGGAGAAAAAGACAAAAGTAGCATGAAGCCAAAAGAGGGAAGAAGAGGTAGACAGGTTTAGGGACAGACTTGCACAAGCTTTAGATATTTAAAAATCACCAGCTCACCACGGAAAAGGGGAGGGAATTCGCACTAATTCAACATCTACTGTTGCCAGGAACTGAACTTTGCATTTTAATAACAATTACAATAAAAGCAGCTAATGTTTATTGACTGCTAGCTCTGAGATAAGTACTTTATAGATAATCTCAGTTAATCTTTTCAATAACCCTATAAGGTAGGTACTCATAGTTCCTCATTGTGTAGACAGAGATACTAAAACCTAGAGAAAGTAACTAAATGTCCAAGTCTATTTAGCAAGTTGTGGAGTTGGCACATAAACATGGCCTGATTTTAAAGCAGGCTTTTCCTGTTTTTTTTGTTTGTTTGTTTGTTTGTTTGTTTTTTGGTGGCAGGTAAGGTGCTGACAGACTGCTTTAAATTCTGAAAAGAATCCTGATAGTCTTGCTACGGAAAACGAAATATGCATGAATACACAACAAATTTGGAGGACTCAACAGAAAGGCTATAGGGAATTTCCACACTTTAGAAAGAAGAAAAAGAATGCCTCCTGAAACTTAGTATCAAACTATTGATTAGAGAAATACAAAGTTACCAGCAAGAGGCAGGACGGCACACTGAACAGCATGAGATAGGATTAACTTTGTTAGATGTGTCAACACAATCTAAGAAAGGGCTCATCAGACAGAGGAGGCTTGGTTCACCATGAAAGCTGAGAATGGTTAGTGGGTGGGGAAGTTGTGAGATCCCATGAAACATTGTTGAGGGAACAGAGGAACCTACTGGGCAAGGCCGAGCTTGGTAAGAACTGGAGATTTTGGGGTATCAATGACTGATGTCATTAAAATTTGCCAATTGAAAAAAAATCTTTTCTCTGTTCAGATTTAACACTGGCTCAGAAACCTGCAGATTATAATTTGGTTACTCATGTAGGCCTCTCCTTTCCAGTGGAGAATATGCTGATTTGGTGATGTAATTTGCCATTTTAAATTAAGTGTGTCTTGATTATATATCTCATCCTGTCTGAGTTTGCTAAGTGTGGACCCACCTTAAAGACAGATATTCTCAGGGCTGATAAAAGCAGCAGGGCAGCCTGTGAGGCTGGGATACATGCAGGCCGGACATAGGTGGGTACACTGATGCCAGCCTGCCTTCCTCTGAGGACATCTGAACCTTCTGCAGCTATTCCTATTGTGCTTCTACTGTGAAAGATACTTGGTGACTGCCCTTAAGATTCAATGCATGCAGTTTTCAAAGTGTGGCCCCTGGGGACCTCCCTTTTAAGGGTTTGTGAGCGTGCTGGTTGGGAGGGTCTGTGAAGTCAACATTATTTTCATTGTAGTATTAAGCCATCATTTGTTGTTTTCACTTTCATTTTTACACAGGTATAGAGAGGTTATATCATGTGATATCACAACACCCTCAAAGAGAGCACAGCAATGAGAATTCAGGTGTCACCTTTTAAGATGCACATAAAGAGGCTTGCAAAAACATAAAATACCACTTTCCTTGCTATTTTCTTCTTTTTGGAAATTGTCATAAGAACTTTATTTTTTCCTTAGAGTTGAGGTCTTGCCTTGTCACTCAGGCTGGAGTGCAGTGGCTCAATCATAGCTCACTGCAGCCTCAAACTCCTGGGCTCAAGTGATTCTTCAACCTTAGCCATCCAAGTAGCTGGGACTACAGGCATGATCCACCACATCCGGCTATTTAAAACAATTTTTTTTTTTTTTACATACTGGGTCTCACTATGTTGGGCAAGGTGGCCTCGAGCTCCTGGCCTCAAGTAATATTCCTGCCTCGGCCTCCAAAGGTGCTGGGATTACAGGTGTGGGCCACCGGGCCTGGCATAAATGTATGTTACAATAGGTTTATTATTGTTACATTTCTTGGTTTTAATTTCTAATAGTTAGGCTTAATGACCTTTTGACCTTTATGATGGTGTGAAAGTGATATGCATTCAGTAGAAACAGTACTTTAGTACAGTCTTCAATAAATTCCATGAGATAGTCAACAATTTATTATAAAACAGTCTTTGTATTATTTTGCCCAAGTGTAGACTAATTTAAGTGGTCTGAGCATGTTTAAGGTAGGCTAGACTAAGCTATGATGCTCAGTAGGTTTGGTGCATTAAATGCACTTTTGACTTATGATATTTTCAATTTATGAGGGGTTTATCAGCATGTAGCCCCACTGTAAATCAGGAAGGATCTGTATAGTAATTATAGGAGTACAAAGGGATTCCAAGACTAACTAGTGGCTACACGGCCCCAGACAGGCTGGCACAAGTCTCTCTGCAAACCTGAGCTTCCAGAGGGTTCCATGAGCCCGGATCCCACTGAGACCAAAGGCTTCTCCTGGGCTCTGTTTGTTTTTCTTATGCATATCCACCCATGGTTTTCCTTTATCTGTGTCTCACCTTTACTTCCATACAGTTCTGGAGGCAAATCATATGGCACAGGAAAGGTGGCCATTGGCTCCTGGCTGCCAGCGAAGAACTTCTGTTTCACTTTGAAATTGTCTAGACCCTGCAGACACACAGAAGAAATCTATGATTGCACCTCATTTTCTGGATTAAAAAAAAAAAAAAAAAAAACCCAGAACGCCCCAAGAAGCAATAATATCTTTATGGTACCTAAATAAAGTTCAAATTATTTTGGAGCTATTTTCAATGTTCATAGGCAAATATATTTACAACCCCCCTGCCTCAAATTATTATTTTTTTTCTAAACACAACAGCTTTAATTTTCAGGAATTAAGTTACAGCAAAGTTTGCAGAAGTTTAACAAAGGATGCAAAGAAAAAAGAGAGACAATTTTGGATATGATAGCCCATTTCAACCAAACATTATGTACAGTTTGCAGAGAGTTTGTAGAACTCACTGTATAAAAATACCTCAAAATACTTCCAACATTGCTATAGTAACAGGCTGCCTGGAGTAAGAAGAAATAAAAGCTGCTTTCATGTATAATGAAAGTGTTCCAATATAATGTGACAGAAGTATAAAAATGAAAATTCTTTAAGACCTATCAAAATGGAAGGTTTATTCCAAGAACTCTAGAATAGGGTATTAATTTTAGATCTTAATCAGGGTGGAAGTGGAGGTTCTATATCTAGGCTGATGTTCACACTGCCACTTCCTTCCAACACAGGGCCTGCCGCAGTGCAGGTGCTTACCGCATGACCGATGTGCCCCCTTGTGCTTCCATACATTGACCATCTCCTGCCCCTTTGTGGATTATCCTGGCATTCTGCTTGTCTGTCTGTCTCTCATTCCTTCTGTCCACCCTTCCACACACATATCCACCCTTCAAATCCTCAATACGCACATACCCAACAGTGCTGATGTCTTAGGAACCCATAAAAAGAACAAAGACTGAGGTTCTTAGTCCCTGTAACTGTGCAACTTAGCAAGTGGAGGCTGGTCATGGGTGGTGTCAGAGAACACGGGGAGGTCCATGTTGACTGGGCTTCAGAAAATCTGGGTTCTAGCCTTTCCTCTGGCATTTACTAAGCTGAGTAAATGGCTGATGTCTGCACATTCGTTCATTTGACACTTTATTTCTCGAGTCCCTCTTCTGGGTCAGGCATGGTGCCAGGCACTGAGTGTGTAAGAGTTAACATAAACATCAACATCCTTGTCCTCATGGAGTATACAGTCTGATAGAGGGACATCAAATACATCTATAAAAGTAAAATAAAAATTACTATTTGTGTTAAGTGCTGCTAAGAAAATCAAAGGAGTGCCATAAGAGACTAGCAGGCCTATTTTAGACTCGGCAGCAGGGGGTGATCAGTGGAAGACTCTCTGAAAAAAGCAACACCTTTATTAAACTCTGAAAGATGAGTAGAGCTTGGCCGGAGTGGAAAGAATTATGTTGCAGGTGGAGGGAATAGCATCTGCAAAGGCCCAGAGGTGGCAAAGAGCCTGGCAAGTCCCAGGGACTAAAACAGATGTTCAGTGGGACAGCTGGCCACTTTTATTAGGTTTCTTTTTTTTTTTGGAGACAGTCTCATTTGTCACCCAGGCTGGAGTGCAGTGGTGTGATCCCGGCTCACTGCAGCCTCTGTCGCCCAGGTTCAAGCAGTTCTCATGCCTCAGCCTCCTGAGTAACTGGGATTACAGGCGTGTGCCACCATGCCTGGTGGATTTTTGTATTTTTAGTGGAGATGCGGTTTCACCATATTGTTCAGGCTGGTCTTGAACTCCTGGCCTCAAGTGATCCACCCACCTCAGGCTCTTAAAGTGCTGGGATTACAGGTGTGAGCCACTGCACCTGGCCTAGGTTTCAATTTCTGTGTTTGTAAAAGTGGGACAGGCTGGATGTGGTGGCTCATGCCTGTAATCCCAGCACTTTGGGAGGTCGAGGCAGGCAGATCACTTGAGGTCAGGAGTTCAAGACCAGCCTGGACAACATGGTGAAACCCCATCTCTAAAAAAAAAAAAAAAAAAAAAAAAAAAAAATTAACCAGGAGTTGGTGGTGTGTGCCTATAATCTCAGTTATTTGGGAGGCTGAGGCAGGAGAATAGCTTGAACCCAGAAGGCAGAGGCTGCAGTGAGCCAAAATCACGCCACTGCACTCCAGGATGGGTGACAAAGTGACACTCTACCTCAGATAAAAAACAACAACAAAAAGTAAAAGTGGGATAATCAAGCTTCTGGAGACATTACCATTTTTAACTTTAGCACCTAGCACAAAGTCCTGGTGCACAGTAGGTGTTCAAGAAATACTGATCTGTAGAAATGGGACTAAAGTTCCTTTCCTGCTTATTTTATAAGCTTCTGCACAAGAGCAAATGGCACAACCTGTGTGAAAGCGTTTTGTGCATGTCAAGACTTACAGAAAGGTATGGGTTACAGCACTGATGAAGATGGTGACCAGTAATACAGTGAAAGGCAGGAGGTGGCAAACTCTACACAAAATAGGAAGAAATGCCCTTCTTCCAGTCATTTTCCTTATCCAAGAAGGATAAGGAAAGGCTTTGTAGAGGATATTTTAGCTAGGGCTTGAAAAATTGGTGTAATTTTAATAAACAGAGAGATGATGGGAAGAATACCAAGCGTGAGAACAGGATAATCAAAGGCAGGGTCGGCAAAGCACAAAGTAGGCACGTCCCAGGAGGGCAAGGGCCCTGACACAGAGGAAAGGGACAGGGAAGACATGGAGGGCGGGCAGGCCAGCTCAGCAGCACCTGCCCCCAGGTGTCCCTGCTCACATGTCACCTTTGACACACTCTGGATCTGAGGAAGCCCTTAATTATCTCTTGCTTTTGCAGACTGCTTACTTGCTGTGTGGCTCTAAGCAAGTTACTTAGCCTTTCTGGCCTTGGTTTCCTCGTTTACGAAATGAAGATGATATGAGCACCTAACTCATAGGGCTACTGTGAAGATATATAAATTATTTAACAATGACTGGCCCATGGTACATATTCCAGGAAACAAATGAGTATAATTGTAAGTATTTTCAGAGCAATTCTCTGTGATGTAATCACTCCTATTTTACAGAGGAGGAAACATATTTGGAGGTTAAATAGTTGCCCAAGGCCACACAGCTATTAAAAGTGGCAAGGCTGGGCACAATGGCTGACACCTGTAATCCCAGCAGTTTGTGAGGCCGAGGCGGGTGGATCACCTGAGGTCAGGAGTTCGAGACCACCCTGGCCAACATGGTGAAACCCTGTCTCTATTAAAAATACAAAAATTAGCCAGGCATGGAGGACTATGCCTGTAATCCCAGCTACTTGGGAGGCTGAGACAGGAGAATCGCTGGAACCCAGGAGGCGGAGGTTGCAGTAAGCTGAGATCACGCCACTGTACTCCAGCCTGGGTGACAGTGACAAAACTCTGCCCTCCCCCCAACCCAAAAAAAAAAAAACAAAAAAAAACACAAAAAACCTGGGCACAGTGGCTCATGCCTGTAATCCCAGCAGTTTGTGAGGCCGAGGTGGGCGGATCACCTGAGGTCAGGAGTTTGAGACCAGCCTGGCCAACATGGAGAAACCCTGTCTCTACTAAAAATACAAAAAATTAGCCAGGTGTGGTGGTGCGCATCTGTAATCCCACCTACTTGGGAGGCGGAGGCAGGAGAATTGCTTGAACCCGGAAGGCAGAGGTTGCAGTGAGCCGGGATGGCACCACTGCACTCCAGCCTGGGTGACAAAGCGAGACTCTGTCCCAAAAAAAAAAAAAAAAAAGTTGGCAGGGCTGGATATCATACCGTGTCTTTCTGATTCTTGGTCTTATATTCCTTCCACCAAGCAAACGAATGGTCTCACATTCACCACCAGGAACTGTGACAAAGGAAGAATTCCTTGAAAATTTAAGACAGGCAGGGTCAAGATGAGCCAAATTCTAGAAACCCTGGTGTTTGGACATTTTAAAAAATAAAGAGGCCAGTGGTTGGGAAGTGATACCAAGTTAATGATTATTAAATACTTTTTTGGAGTTTCAGGTAAAATATGACTTCTCTCTTATTTAGCTCCTATTAGTACTGATATTTTCAAATGTATCATGGCCACAGGTTATGGCTCTTTATAGCCTGGGCCCAGATCTGAGGCTGTGTGCTCAACCCATGATTCCATTTTGTGATATCTGACTTCAGACGTGAGAAGGTTTGAACTCTCCCTTTCTGACAGAAACCAATATGCTTTTATTTTGAATGCCATTTATGATCCAAATTCTAGGTTATTACAAAAAAGTACTACTTTTCCCCTTCAATCTGAATGTCAAATAATTTGAGGCTGTCCTCTAATGATCATTATTTCTATATCACAGTGGTATCACTTGGCATTTTGCGAAACAGAGGAAGGCACCCTCCCAGGCATAGATACTTAGAAGACAGTTAAGACAATAAGTTTATAAAACACCAGGTGAGAGGGTGGACATATATCACATATAAGAAATTGCTGGCTTTTCCTTTCTTCAGCTTTGGGAGTGAAAGAGCTGATTATCGCTGTGATGATTTATGTTTAGCAGCTTAGCTCAATCATGGGGAACAGGAGGCATGCTTCAGTTTCAGTTAGAGATGTAATTTATGTTTTTATCTGCATCTATCCGAGTAGCAACCTCAAGTGGTAAAACCCTACACAAGGCATCAGGCTTTCCTGGATAAAACAGTGACAGCAGTTGAACTTCCCAGAAGGGGCACACTTAGTCAAAGATCAACTAATTGGCAAGGAAATAAATTACAGGAAGGTGGTGGCATCTTTCCTGCAAGACATGATCACGACTGAAAGCGCTTCCTGCTAGGGGCTTAGGAAAAGCTTTGTGGAGAAGTGTAAACCTAAAGGGATTTTGAAGGATGGGTTTTTGATAAGCAAAGGGGCTGTTTGTGTGGGGCTGGGGGAATGCAGTTCAGAAGGAAAGAAAAGAGTGCAACATCATCACAGAAGTGACATCAAGATTCTAATTGACCGAAAACCCACGGAGTATCAGCCCCTGCTTTCAATCTTCTGTTGAACTGTGTGGCTTATATGCGATTGCTGCTACCGCTAATATCAACTGCAACCTTTACTGAGCACTTGGTA